GTCCCTTGTGCAGGAGGACAGAAATGATGGGAGCAGAGGCTGAGCTGGGCTGAGGGCACACACTGCACCATTCCAGAGGGATGGATATCTACCTGTGCCCGGGAGCCTGGCACTGCCCAGTCCCCACTGGCCAGTGTGTACATCACGGGTGGAATTCTTCACCTACTGACCACAGCTACCTTTACACCTCTCTGTAATAAAGATGAAGCTCTGTGGGCTCATGGAATCATCCAAAGTGCTAAATCCAGAAGGTGCCTCCTTGTGCACCTCTGTCTCCTGTGTGGATTCCTGAACACTTCTAAAAATTTGGTTCCAGCAGTTCCAGGTAGCCAAACTCAGAGGAATTTCTCAACTCTTTAAAATGTAGTGACAATTTTTGTTGAGAGAACTTCAAAGTAATGGTATTTTACTTGAGAGCCTTCCAAGAACTAAGTCTAGATGATGGGAATTATCCTTGTCTAATGGTATGAAACCTCTGTCAAAGATGGAATTTATTGCCGGTATTGTGGCACTGTTTTCCATGGCAGCAAATGCACCTTTAGAAGCAGATTTTTATAATATTTCACTCTCTTGAGTATCACTGGCTGCATGGTTCATTCAAAGGGGGGATGAAGAAGTCACCTGTCAGAAAAAGGCAGAACTGGTTTTGAGGGAAATAATCTCCTTTTCAACAATATTTGTCAATACTATTCCAAGGGACTTGGCACAGATACAAAGGGAATGGATTTAGTGGGGAGAATGCAGGTGAAGCAGCCAATGATTCATTTCTGTCTTAAGGAATTTTGCCAGCTCATATTTTTATACATTTTACATATCTATCTATCTATCTATCTATCTATCTATCTATATATATATATATATATATATATATATGGTATTTTGATAAAAATCCAGTGCCACATTGCAAATGTGAAAAATCGCATTCCAAGTGAGCTCAAGACTACAGAAGAATAGATTGAGAGCCACAAGAACTTATATCCTGTGGCTCAGGGTACAGAAACAGCAGTGCAAGCTGGTCTTTTAGACCCACCTTTGCTTGGGTGAGAATTCCCATCATCACCCTTGAACCTCTGGATTCTCAGGTAAAAAAGGAGTCACTAAACATGTGGCAGGGCTTGGAAGAATGGGAGCAAGTCTTTTCAAAGCTGCCTATTGTTCCTAGCAGGCAGCAGGTAACTCATAATTGGCATTTGAAACTTATGAAATATTCAACACTACAAATCAGGGAAATTCTGTCTTGGAGTTTCAGTGGGAGAAGCTGCACTTGCTACCTCTGCAGCTCAGAGATAATGAAGAAAGAATCGTGATAAATACACAAATCCTTGCTCACCCTTGGCCTTATTCATTACCCAGGTGTGCTGTCACACTGCACTCACTGAAATTCAGCCTGGGCTTGGCTCCTGCTCTCCTTGCTCCTTAGAGGAGCTGCAGAGTGGGGACTGCAGTGTATGCCCAGGCTGAGGCCACCAGGCTGGATAAAGGAACCTTGTTCTTTGGTTAAGGATAAAGGATATCCTTTAGATATCCA